GCTGAATCCCATCTACATAAATTCTTCATGACTATTAAAATTTCTATAAAATAGTTTTTCGTGAACCTCTCTAAAACCTATTAATCAATACCCCCCATAAAGTAATGACCATATGAAAGTTTAAAGTATTCTACACCTTCTCATTTACTATCAAGTCTTTTAAAGCGATATTGAGAAATAATCTGAGCTTTGAAATGAAAAAGTAATACCGTTTTTGAATGGCTGTGAATTCATGGAGAGAAGAGCTTTCGATGTGAAGAAGTATTCATAAGAAAGCTTTAGTGGAGTACTTTCATTTTACTCTAACAATGAAGTTCGAATTTATTATAAAAATAACGAGATATTTAAAAAAGCTTCATGTGACACGAATTTCGAATTTTAAAAATATCCTTCAATGAACTTACTATTACTTTTTTTACATTTGATATATTTTTCAATTTTATTAACCACTAACTACTATATTAATAATTTTTAAAAGTATGATTTAGATATACGAAATAGATTGATCATTCAACTCAATCAGGTGACTTTTTAATGCAATTAAAAATAGAGATTTTGCAAAGCCAGATTAATTTAGACAGTATGTATAACTTAGAACATTGAAATCTTTGGTTTTCTTTCCCTTTATTTATAACAATTCGACTGTACTCAAAAGTTCTGTCACTTACTCTTATTTTAATAATCGTTTGTGTTAGTTAATTCTTTGTATTTATTAAAGATAAAGGATTGACTTTTTACAAATTTACAAATCTATAATAAGAATAGGTAATTTCATTGCAAGTAATATAATAAAAATCATTGGTCTTGCTTGATATAAAACTATGAGATAACAATAAAGAAAATACAGTGAATGCAGTGCAGTGAATAATAAGAATTGTTACAAATTATGGATTTTTACACAAAAGTCACGTAGGGTGCATTTCATATGAGTGCCGAGACACATAGCGTGCACTTATAGAGGGTGTGCATCCATGGCAAATGCATTTATAATTAATTAATTAGTTAATTTTTAAAAAAGATAAATTATACATAGCCACTGGTGAAATTGCAGTCATGGATGGAGTCATAGAAGCAAAGGTTTCTAATCAGAAAAAAAAATTTAGTTATTCCTAATATTTCACATAGTGATTTAACAATAATTATTATTGGTGCAACAGAGAAAAGTGAAGCTCGTGATGAAAAGGAACATATCGGTATGTAAATATTGGTGATGTTAGCCAGTAGAAAACCTTAGCCGGCTAGGAACTTTGATAAATCCCAGTTGATGAAAAAACTTTACAGATGATAATAGGCTTGCCGGTATTATTATTACTACTACTATCGTTATTATTATTATTGTTGTTATTATTTACTATTGTTATATCCTACCATTATTACTATTTAAAGGTTCGAATAAGGTTTGTTCGAATTATTTGTCATGAATTTAAATATTCGAATTACATTGAAAGTTTATTTAATTTTTTTTTTTTGAGCAAATGTATGTTTTTTTGTCATTCTAAGTGATGCAGGTGGACCCATCTCAACTAAAATGTCTATTCCATTGAATTCTATACTAAAATTCCAGATCTAAAAAGAAATTTTTTTTTGGCCGGCTAACATCACTCACTACTTTTGGGATGGGTAAATTATATATAATATTTAAATTTTTATATATTTGCAAGAATTACATTGAATTTTCTTTTGCCGGTTTCTATATATAGAGGAATCAATAAACCTAATCATTCACTACATGATCCCACATTCCATCTCATGGTTCTTTCCCGAAATGCAATTATTATGTTTTGCTTATAAGACCCCGCCCTCTATAAATGCAATCCCTCTCTAAATGCACATAATGATTGATTTTTTCTATGTCTCCTGACAAGTTGGATATAGTGAGAGTTCACTGTACCAAGAAACTGGATGGGGAGTAGGGAGATGTTATTACTTGAACAATATGGAGAGGGAATGCTTATTGATGTGGGCTTAACAAAATTTTTCTGAAGTAATCAGCAGTTCACGCTCAAAGATTTTCATGTTGCATTAAAGCTCCGAACGAATCAATGAAATTCGAACCGAACCGAATCGAATCGCATCACCTAATTTTTGATTCGAATATTAAATACATATATAATTTGATTCGAACTTATTCAACCCAACTCGATTCGAACTAGTGATGGTGGCCGAAACTACGCTTAGTGGGCCGAAATTACCGAAATTAATTGGCCT